GCTTAATTTCTTATCTTTTGCTCTGTAGATGCATGTACACAGATCAGTTGCCTCTCAAATATATGTCACGTGATTAAAAAAAACAATGAATTGATTTAGAAAAGAAGGAAAAAAATCTAACATTGCAACATCCTTATGTTAGCATTCATTTCTGATACATGACCTTCCATACCTTGTACACCTCGTTATATTTGTTGATCAAATTTTTTAATCCTTTTCATTTATGTGATCAGCCAACAATTTTTTTTTTTTTTTTTGGATAAGAAGCAATGTAAAACAATTTCATTGCTGTACAACCATACGTTTTTAACTTGTCTAAATGCATGACACTTTTAAAATTGTTACTGTTGATGGAAATTACAATTTTCAAATCAATTTAGAATAGTCATTTGCATATGATTTCTGCAAAGATCTTTTGGATTTGCAGGTAGTTTTTAATTAATATCTGTCTGTTCCTTTATCTTATTTCTTCCAATAATTCTTTAGTTTCCTTTTCTTGTGAATTTCCCATCGTCTAGAACTATCTTGTTAGTTAAATGAGAATGTGTTGAGAAACCGAAAGGATCCCTGAGGTGAGGTAGTCAAGTGGGCATAGAGTAACTTCAGACTATTGGCCAACCTCCTGAAGTTTGGGAACTTGACCTGGGGTCGAGCCAGTTTAGATTTGAAAACATGTGGATTTCTCACCCTTTGCTTAAAGCTTCCTTTGATTTCTGGTGGGGGGCTACGGTTTAGATTTGAAAGAAGTGGGAGGGCTTTCGATTTTTTAGAAAACTAACGTCTTTGAACAAGACTATTAAATTTTGGAACAGGACTTTTTAGTTTCCCTGTGGGTTTTAGTTTGCTTTTAATTCTCTATAACTAGAGAGCCCCTTCCGTGTGTTCTTTTCATTTTTCATTCTAATAAAGATTCTAGGGTTGATTATGGGAGATTTCTCCTTTTAGGTTTAGTCACTTAGGCTACATGAATTTGGTATTAGAGTGGACGTTTAGAGAGAGCTTTGTGAGATGTGCTCGTTGCCAAGCAATTCACATTATTTTGGGGAACCTTTTAAGGTAAAAAAATTTCAAAGATTTGTCCAAGAATGGAGTACTAAGATGCTAGATGGATATTCAAGACTAGAAAATACTCTCTTGGTCATGAAACACGACCAAGAAAGGCAGAAGCTTATTCTAGAACACACATCACTTCCTGCTATTGTTATCCTAGACCTTGCAAGGTAGTCAGCATAACCTACATCAACTTTGAATTCAGAGTATCTTGGAAAAAATGATTTAGACTGGTTCAATTTCCAAAACGACGAGGAATTGATAATGTAGAAAAAGGTTGAGAAAATTAGGAGTTTGTTCAAAGCCAAGAGTTTGCAGATGTTACAAAACTCAAGAAAATATAAACCTTCCATAACTGAGAAGATTTGAAATTTGTGTGTGAAATAATTTTGCATGAAGAAAAAATAAGCGGAGAAACAAGAGAATTTGAGCAAGGGGGAAGGCCAGTTGTGCATAGAAGAAGAAAATGAGACAGTAACGTGTGAGGTCGAAGATGTGAGGAAGTGGGTCAAGAATGAAGATGCCAATATTCTTTGTAGCTCGAACTGGCTAATGCGGTTTGGGAGCAAGGAGTCTATATTTTGTAGCTAATGTGCTACCATCCTGACCGTTCTCATTTATTAGATGTAAAATTGACTTGTGTGAGTCTATATTTTGGAGATAAGAGGGATAGTATGGAAGAGGCTTGGGAGCGAGGTAATCTTGTGAGCTTCCAATTCTGATAGAACATGGTACTCCTTTATTTTTTGTTTTGGCTAGTTGGGCATATTCTTTGTAGCTTGAACTGGCTAAGGCGATGCTTACCTCTTTCCTTGTACAGTTTTTTTTTTTTTTTTTTTTTCAGTTTTCATTTTGGATTCTAATATAATTTGCTTGTTATGAGAGAAAATGGAAGATACTTTGAGGTATGGGTTTTGCAAATCTCTCTTATTTTGTGGCTCGTGTATGAGAAATGTCTTTCAACAGGGACGTTACTTGGAAGTACGCTACCTCAAGAGTAGCATAGAATAGATCCCTACGAACACTCCTTTTTTAAGGCATAATCTCTTTCTGGTTAGATTTTTGTCCTAAAGTTCAATCTGACACTTCGGATTTCTAGTGTTTGATATTTCTTTAATAGTTTCGACATAAGATACTTCGCAGGCATTTATGGTATTATGGTCACGATAGAAAAGGAAGAATAATAGTGCATATTTGATGGAAGAACATTGAACTTTTGCCTGTATTTTTGCATTCTTTTTAAAAATTTCTTTCAATATATGTCGTGAATTATTTGCAAACAGCAGGTTGAAGAATATATCTTCTGTAGTTCAATCTTTTTGATGTTTTACCATGGCTGCAGGTTGGCACACCAGTTTGTATTCCTCAAAGAGAATTTATTGACATTGGTCGTATTGCATCTATTGAAAATAATCACAAACCTGTTGATTATGCAAAGAAAGGGCAGAAGATTGCCATTAAGGTAACCCTTTTCGTTAATTCTACCGGTGTTGCAGTCGTTATTGTTACGATCTCCATAATTTTTTCCTAAAATAATAGGCTTGTTTGATGCAATCTTATGATTCTTATTAGAAAGTTCTACTTTTTCTTAATACTCTGATCCCTTCTCAAATTCTCAATATGTGCTAAAGTTTCATCGGGTTGTTCCAACAGATAGTCGGGCACTCTTCGGAGGAGCAGCAAAAGATGTACGGCAGGCATTTCGACTTGGAGGACGAACTCGTCAGCCATATATCCAGGAAGTCCATTGACCTTCTCAAAGCCAATTATCGGGTTAGTTTACTTCTCTCTCTCTTTCGTTCTCTCTGTTTCATCGTGAAATTCGAGCCTACGATGATATGGTAAGCATTTTTACACTGTTAGACATTACAAAAGGTCTTTCAAATCTTCATCCAATTCAATTATTATTATTATGGTCTGTTTTGGCCAATGAATCGAATATGTCGTATAGGATGACTTGTCCACGGATGAGTGGAGACTGGTGGTAAAATTGAAGAACCTTTTCAAGATTCAATGAGAAGAACGAACCATCAACTTGTGTGGTTTGCAACTTTTCAAACAGCTGGTTCGGGTCCGGTGTCGTTGGATTGATATGTTGAAGATACAGAGGAAAGGTGGGGAGGCAAGAACAGGTTCCTTGAAAAGAACAGCTGTGCCTGCCGAGTTTGGGTTTTATGGAATGGATGATGATTGTTGAATTCAATTCATCAAAGGTGAGAAGGTATGCGGCATAACATAACACTATTTTTGTTGAATGAGAAAGCTATCAAGCAATCAACTGAAATGTTCTCTCATTCTTATGGAATATCATTGAATACCTAAGTTTTGATGTGATTACCTATAGAGATTTTTGTTTTTTTTGGTATGAAATTAGTGATTGCATGATCAATATCTGTAAATATATGTTTGTTGTTCTTCGCTAATTTAATATTTTTGGAGTATTTCATTTCACTTGTTGGCTAAAAACCGTGGAACGGGACGGTTGATGGGATTTTAGTTAACTTATAACACGAATGCTTGAAAAGTGAAATATTTTATAAATAATTAAAAAAAATAACAACCCTTTCGAGTTAAGCCAGTTTGAATTGTGAATTCTATTCTGGTTGCAATGGTCTCTAACCAAACTAACTTGAAATTTTGTGTTGTCCAAAAACATTTTTCCAACTCAACTCATATACCTAAAAAATTCATTAATAAATATGCTAATAATAATAAAAAAAAAAAGTAGCTATTATGCCCTTTTTTAACGAAGCATAGAGTCCTACGGTTTCATCGACTAATAAAGTTATCAAATGAATTGTAATTGAAATGACCCTAAAATGAATTGTAAGTTGAAATGACCCTCAAATTATGACAATTGAAATCTAAAATGAATTGAATTGTAATTGCAGTTGAAATCTAAAAATGGATTGAATTGTAATAACAGTTGAAATGACCCTAAAATATATAAGTTAATATAATGCTTTAAAGTTGAAAATATCATAACAAAATTTAAAAAGGTCCCTCAATTCAATCATTTGAATTAATATCATAGAATATATAATATATTTTTTTCTATATTATTTATTTTTATAATATTTGAAATTAATCTTTATAACTAAGATCATTATACATTTGGTTTCTATATATTATTAATAATTATATATTAATATAATATAATATTATATATAAATATTTTATATAATTTTATCTGATATATTTAATATATATAGATTTTTTCTCGATTATCAATATCTATATATTGTTATATACTTTTTAAGATATACCATTTTTATGTGAATTATGTAAATATTTTATTATAGTTTATCCAATATTAAATTGCTTCAAGTTAAACCCAATTTAGATTTAGAGTTCTTATATTTAAGTCGTCGAAAAAATTGCACCTTTCAAATTAGGTAAAATAAATAATTCAGATACGATATAGATTAATTCATATACCTTTACGTTCAACTCGAGTGTTATAAATAAAGAATCTTATTTACAATTTTTTTTTTTTTAAAAGTAGGTTTTTAATCCATTAAGTTTACAATAATCATTAAAAGAAAGGGAAAAGTTTTAAAGTTAAATCTGTTAGGGACAACATTAACATAAAAAAGTTGCTATTAATTATGTTAATATTAATACTTAGGTTTAATAGTTTATGATCTCACACATTATTATATTAAACAACAAAAAAATAATATTATATTAACATCATAATTTATTGTTGGTTTGACCTAACACTATTAGAAGAACAATATAATATCTCACTCTCGTGATACATTTTCCTCTCAAATTGAAATAAAAATAATTAATAGTGAATGAGTAAAGTTTCATGTTCTAATTTTCAAAACTAAGAATTCGTACTAATATTAATATCTAAAATACGATTGCTCTAAATTTAGTAAGTGATTTAGGGTAAGTTTGTACGAAACAATTCCGTACTTCTCTCGAGAGAGGTTCGAGTTTAATAAGGGCGAAGATACGAGAGATTTTTAGGTTAACTAGAGGTAAAAAGTTTACATCTTTGATATTCAGATGAGACTATCACGTCGTGAACTAAATAAACTATGCTCGAGGAACCCCGAAACGTTTGCAAACCATCTATATATATATATATATACACAAGCAAATCAAATCAAAATCAGCTAAATACTGCCCAATCCCACATCATTTTAAACTATAGTTGATTCATGTATACTTCCCTACACACCAATTAGTAAGAACTTTAATGTGACATCTTTTTTATTTGCTAATTATTCTCTCATAGTCCACTTGATCCAATCAACTTTGTCAACCCAAAAGTCACAGCCATGGCCGTCCACCCTCCGATCAAGACCCTCACCGCCGACCTCACCGTTGGTGCCTTCCCCAACGCTGCCCCTAGCCACCCAAACCCTACTAGAGCCATGGTCACTGCAGCCACCACAACTCCTAGCCGAACCCTATACTCCCTAATGAACGCAGCCGCCAGCAGCGGCACCATAGCTCCGATGGAAAAGGCCAACGCCGAGGCAGCTGCCGCCTGAAGAGGGTTTGGCAGTTTCTCTCTCTCCTCTTCCTCCAAGTCCTTGTTTCTTCTTATATGGGCCATTTCTATATCTAATTGAGAGTAAACGGAGACGAACTCACCGATCGCCATGCTGCAGGCACCGGCAATGAGACCGGCGAAACCGGTGAGAATCATGGCTTTAACGTCATGCTTGACAGCTCCGATACCCATCATGAGAGATGCAGTTGAGACGAGACCGTCGTTGGCGCCTAGCACGGCGGCGCGTAACCATTGAGCGCGTTTCGAGTAGTCGAAGGGTTGGGATTGGATTTCATCTACTACGTTGTTGTGGGTTGATGTCATTTGGTCATGGGATGGGAGGGGGAGCTTGGTGCAATTGTTGAGGGAGCTGCTTTTGTTCAATGTTGACATGCTAAGGCTTAGAAGAAACCCTATTGAGATAAATTAAAGACAATGGCTTAGAGGGAAGAAGAAGAAGAAGAAGAAGAAGTTGAAGTGTGGTGAACACACGCCCCCATGATGTCTATTTAAGAGGGAAAATCTTGGTCGTGGGATGGCCATATTGGTAGTGTCTAATATGACTATACCGCTGTATAAGTAAGTGACACTATCTCCGTTAGCATGAAACTGGTTGGGAAAACTAAAAGAAAAGCGATGGTCGTTATTCTATCTCTAATCTCTAGTATCAAAGTCATGCCTTTATCTTAACTTAGTTATGTCAATAGAATTTTCGAAGGTGTAGTCATACTGACTTAGGTGTCAAACAAAAAAGTTTTGGGTCTTGAAGGTGTAAGATCATATTGAAGATTCGTGGTTGTAACACCTGCTGATGTATCTCATAGTTGGGAAGACTAACAATTTGCTCTAGTGAAGAAGAGTTGTCTAGACTCAATGGTGTGTACCAGTATGGAGGTTTGTTGTTCTATAAAAAATGACGTTATTATCAATGAATTAAGATATATCCATCTGTTTTTTTAACTCAAGAATACGTGGAGGTAGAGATTCGAACCTTTGTAAAAGGAGGGAAGTGGGCATTTAAAATAGAACACAAAGTGTATTCGTGGATTTCTTATGTGGTATACATTTATTTGTTCATGAATGAGTGGAAATAGCACCAATTGAATGGTTAATGCTCGTCTCCATCTTTGCTTTTCTTGCTCTCTTTTGTTTTGTTTTTCTCAAAAGGACAAACTTTGACTGTGAATGAATAGCTTTTCATGTTTATTTGCTTGTCGTTATCTCTTCATTTTGGTTAATATTAGTAAAACATGTAGTTCTCTTTTGTCGTTAATGTTTCAAAAAGAAATAAAAAGTAAAAATTTTGGATTTTTTTTTTTCTTACAAAAGTTTAGTTTTAAAAGAAAAGTGATATCAAATTTAGACGGAGGTGGTGGAAATAGAATTACTAGATGTCATGGTCATGCTTGTCCAAGACGTGTTGTCCATGGTTGCTTGCCCATGCATTGCGATTCTGACACTAGGTATAGGGTTGGATTTCGAGTTAGTTTAAAGATGAAAAAAGTGTTTTTCAAAAATGAAATTGGTAAAAATCCGATCTTCTAAGACCTGAGTTCATTACCATATTCATGTTGATGTCATTTTAAAGTGAAAAAAAAAAAATGAATAGGTTACAAACTTGTACGTTTCAAAAAAAAAAAAAATATATAGGTTTGGGTTGAAATTCGAGAATAACAACTTAAATAATGTAGAGGTTCAAATGAATACACGATGACATATTGAAAAATACTCAGTAAGTATTTTTTTTTTTTTTTTTTGTTGGGATTTGACATGTATACGCTCGTAGTAAGATATCACGAAATCAAAAGATCTAAAACCATTCACAACTAGTCAACTCGCATGCACGTGGATGAGCAGTTCTGCAGTTCTGATGGACATAAATAGATGATTGTCACAAGGCCATACCATGAAGTGGTCAACATGGTTGTAAAGTGGTCAACTAAGCAAACATATAAATCATTAATAACAACTCTTTAATAAACTGAATCCACACCGTCAACATACTTAAACTACATAAAACTCTTCCGCCTCCCCTATAAGATTTAGCTCTTCATACAAACAGAATTAAATAAAGGAATCCACATCTTAATCATGTAAAATTGGTAGAATAAGAAAAGAGATTAAATGATTCAAGAGTTATCAAGATTTGTTGTTGTTCTTCAATGGAAGTTCTCCTCCTTTGAGATCTCTCGTCCACCTCTTTGCCCTAATTTATCCTTCTTGGACTTCGTTTCGTTCTGCTATCAACAACTGCTAAATTAGAGTTCTTCTTCTTGCCCTCTCTTAGGGTTTTTCTTCCTGCCTTTCGGTTTTACAGCAATAGAAGCCTCGGCTGTGTCTTTTACGTTTTCTCCTTTGGTGGCTCCCTTTCATTTTAGGTAACCTTCCCCTTTTGTATTATTCTTTGCTTTCCATTTAGGGTTCAAAAGGCGTTAGTCGTCCACCTATAAAGTTTTTAATTGGGTAGTCAATGACCCAAATGGCTTGTTAATTTGGATTATAATTTCCATGTCATCCCCGTAAATTATGCATTTCGAATTGCTTCAACATCAAGGTCAACAATGTGTTTTCAGATTTGTTACAACATCATGGTTCAACGTATATATTCTGAAATTTTACCAAGTAACTCAATTAAATGTACAATTAGGCTTGATTTATGTAAAATTGATCTTCTTTTCAAGTTGAACCATAATGCATAAGGGGGACCTACATCTCTTCCCACAAAGGGCTTGAAATGAAGCTATATCGATGATAATCATGCAACTATTATTATATGCAAACTCTATGAGATATAAGTGGGAATCCCAACTACCTGTAAAATTAACGTTAATTTCTTTATGTGTGGAGAGATACTGAAGACTTCTTAATATGACCTTATTTTCCATATTAAGATGAAAGGCATGTTTTAAATGCCATGTTACATTATGCGATGATTTTCCTAGGACACAACCCTAGTTAATGTTAATGATGATGAATGTATGAAGACCAATATACGTATATTACTTATAGAATATGTGAACGGAACTTAGGGTTGTATCAGAAAGATGTGTTAAAGATGAGAAACCATAGGGATCTCATGCACTCTGTGTGTACATATACATCGTCCTACTTGCCCTTTTATGATGATGAGTACGAACGCGTACACTACGATGATGATAATCATCATGCCTTGTGTCACGGTCATGCTTGTCCAAGGTGTGTTGTCCATGACCGCATGAAAGGTGATTGTGACACCTCGCATGACAATCAGAGGTCTGCTGACCTCCAGACGTCGCTATGGATAACTACCTCAACTATGATGGGTCCAAGGGGGTGCGAACCGCCTAGGTATTCATGCTTACATATGTGAGTCATGTGTAGGGAAGTACTATCTATCCATTTTTTTCCGGAGTGGAGGCCACCCATATGATGGTTTTAACTAAAGATTCCTAGAGCATGAGTTGCATGTGTTTGCATTTCCCGACTCTAATAATGGGGTCACTTATCGAGTATTTCTTAAAAACTCAAGTCGTGCACTACTTCTACTTCAGGTAAAGGCACGACACCCCTATACGACTAATGACGAGTTCGCAATCAGAGACCATGACACATGTATAGGCCAGTAGTACTTTAATTTCTTAATAAATTTGAAGTAAATTTCAATGTACAAACATTTTTGATGTACCACTATTCGTACAACTATTTCTTGCCAACAACAAAACACGAAAATAGACTTTTACTCGTCTATTCTATGTCAAGTGTCGTTTAGAATGACTTTAGGTTATGGAGTGAAAAAAAGATAGGTGTCGAGATATTTTTGTTATCAATATATTTGTTTTGGAACTAAAGTTGATATGGCTACAATAAACTCTATCTTCTTCCTATTCATTTCTTTCCTCTTTAGACAAAAAGAAAGAAAAAGAAAAAAGGACCAAAATAACAAAGCAATGAAAATGATTCTTCCTCCTAAATCTACTTTTGCAATTTGCAAGAGATGTCCATTATTGCTTACATAATTTTCCACCTTGCTAACACTAATAAAAACGTTAAATTATATATTATCTGAATGCAATAGCTAAGTCTACCGTTAGCAGATATTGTTTTCTTTGTGTTTTTTCCTTTGAACTTCTTCTCAAAGTTTTTAAAATACGTCTACTGAGAAGAGATTTTCACATCTTATAAAAAAAATGTTTTATTCTCCTCTCCAATCGATGTGGGATCTCACAAGCCACCCCTTCAGGGCTCAACGTTGTCACTGTCACTCGTTCTCCTCTTCAATCGATGTTGTTCCTCTCTCCAATCGATGTGGGATCTCACAATGGTTGGAGAGAGAAACAAAACATTCTTTACAAGGTGTGAAAACCTCTCCCTCTAACACGCATTTAAAAACCTTGAGGGAAAGCACAGAACAGAAAACCCAAAAAGAACAATATCGACTAAAACCTCGATTCATTTTGACCTTATACGTTTTAATGTTCATTTTAGGTTTGATACTTTTAACTTTGGTTCATTTTGGTCACTCGTCCCTATACTTTTAAATTGTCCTTAATTTTTTTATTTATTATTTTCTTATCCAAATATATTTTTTAAAAACTTTATTAAAGTTTATGCGTGTTCTTCAACCAATAATAATCAAACTTATTATAATGATTGTTGGACAAACTTCTATTGGAAAATAACATTTTAATAAGTGGAATTCATATTAGTAAAGTTTATGGGCCTTATTTTAAATTAAATTAGACATTAAAAAAGATTTTAAAAAGTTACTTAACTAAAAAAGAAAAAAAAAAAAAAAAAAAGAAACCAATGAATTAAGAACAGAAGAATGGGAAGGAATAAAAAGGAAAGGAAAAAAATAAAAAAAAAAGCTTTTGTAGAAAAAGGAAATTAAATATGGATATAAGGCAATGATTAAATTATGCATAATAAAAAAAAATTCGGGTTTGAATTGACGTGGGGATCTCACAATCTGCTCCCTTTGAGGACCAACGTTCTCGCTAGCACACTGTTTGGTGTTTGGCTTTATTTGAGCTTTCCCTCAAGGAAAACTTTATACGGAATGTTTTGTTTCTCTCTTCAACTGATGTGAGATATCACAATCGACCCCTCTTGAGAGTCTAATGTCCTCGCTAGCACCCCGTTCGGTGTCTGGTTCTGATGTCATTTGTAATAGCCCAAGCCCACCGTTAACGGATATTGTCCTCTTTGGACTTCCCCTTCTAGGTTTCTCTTCAAAGTTTTAAAATGTATCTGTTACAGAGAGGATTCCACATTGTTATAAGGAATGCTTCATTTTTATCTCTAATTGAAGTGGGATCTCACAATCCACTCTCCAACGAATGTGAGATCTCACATCGTCTTATTTAATATCAAATTTTACTATTATTTTAACTATTAGAGGATTGACAATAATCTCGTAAAACAAGACGTGCATTACATGTCAAGCACTCGTTTGTATGGTGAAAATCGTGTTTCATACTTACAAGTACAAGTTGTACAATTATCCTCTTGGAAGGAAATAAAAATAAAATAAAAAAATAAACTTATGTTATTTCAAAAATTATAATGTTTATAAAAAAAAAAAAATTATAATTTCCAAGTCCATATTTCACAAGTTTCATTTTGAAGACGAATTCTTAATTTCCCTATTTTTTTTTTTTTTTTTTAATATGGGTTGTTATTGAATTGTTTATGTGTAACGATCTGTCTTGTGCGATTCTTGGGTTATGAACGGATATCGTTAATGTGTAATGAAAACTGGCTCATATACGCTCTTACCTTAGTCGCAAAGTTTGGGTTCCACCGTATAGTCTACTTGTTGATTCTTATTTCAATCATGACCCTTATGTCACTCATCTATCTCATATCGTTTGTAAGTCTTATTTTATGTCTATGCACTAAAGCTTATTGATAATTAAGACCTAGGTTCTAAGGGTTCGATGGAACTCATTGAAGAGTTATTACTCTTAAAGTTCATAGTAACTCATAAGATAGTCCCCCGAACTTAATTCATTCATCTAAGAACCACTTCTAATTCCTTTCAAAACATAAAGTAGTCCTTTGTGAGGCATCCTCGAAGAGCATAACAAACTCACTCATCTCAGTCGCTCGAGTACAACGATCCAACTCTTTTGAGGCCTAACAAATTCATTCCTCCTAAAGCAACAGTCCATCACAATTCTCGAACATAATAAATCAGGTTGCATCTAATATAATTTGAAATTTGAATAAAATTAAATTGATTGAATATATATTGAAATATGTTATGATATTTAAATATAATTTAAATAAAAATATATATTAAATATCAAAATATATTGTTTCAAATTTAAAAAGAATTCTTTATAAATCTAACCATCAATTCTTTCCTTTTGTCAATTTTGATTGATAGAGGAATATGATTCAAAAATAAAAATTTGTTGCATGACATAAGAAATAGTTAATATAACTCTAGTTGATATGATATCGTAGTCTATTGGAAAAGTGGGTTTTTTGAATCATTAGTATCAATAATTTGATGATGAGGCATGTGGATGGCCTTATTGTAAGTTCTCGATGGTCAATAATTTCTAAATCAATAAAGCTTGCAATGCTTAAAGTTCTTCAAAAGCTATGAAATGGGATGCTGAAGTGGAAGGCACCACATATGTTGGTGCTGAATTAAAAGGGTATGGGTAGGAGTTGAAGATAATGTATAAATTAAATGGCAAGAGTTTCCATTCTACACGAATCTCCCCACTATTGCTCAATGTTAATACCGGTAAGAAATCTGTAATGACCCTAGATTTCTATTAACGTAAAGTCACTATCGTCATTTTAACCTAAACTTTTATGTAAAATTTAACTCTTGATATATCATCGTAAAATTATAACTTCATCTTAAAACATAACATCATCATTAAACATACAACTATGGATGTCTTGCCTATTTTAACCTAAGTCTAAGAATTTTAAAATGCTACTAGCCTATATACACGCCATGGTCTCTGATTGTGATGTCGTCGTAAGCCGTACAGGGGTGCCTTGCTTTTACCATAAAATAATGTAGCACACGACCTGAGTATTTTGAAGAATATTCAGTAAGTGACCCCACTATAGGGGCAAAAAAATGTAAACACATGCAAGTCATGCTCTAGGGACCTATCGTTAAAAACATTATAGGAGTGGCCTCCAGTCTGGACTAAATTGGATGCGTAGTACTTCTCTACACACGACACATATGTGTGAGTGTGAATCCCCAGGCAGTTCGCACCCCTTGGACCCATCATATACGAGCTAGCTGTCCGTAGCGACGTTTGGAGGTTAGCAAA